ATTTGGCTGTTAACCAAAAGGTCAGAAGTTCAAGCACAGCAAGTTACTCAGTGGGGGGAAAATGTGGCAGACAGCTTCTGTAAATATTTGCAGCCTCAGAAACCCTATGGAACAGTTCTACCCTGTACTATAGGGTCTCTGTGAGTTGGAATCAACTTGATGGCAATAAGTTTGGTTTTGAGTAGAGGGAACCAGATTTATTTGCAAAGGTTAAGCCAATTTAGCATTCCAGTAAAAGAAGTAGTTTAGTTTGGCCTTTTAAAAATATTGCTGGATTTTGTTTACTAATATTTTCTTAAGTTTTTTCCATTTATATTTCTGAGTGAAATTGGCCTGTAAACTTTCTTTCCTTTAATGCTTTCATGAAGTTTCAGCGTCAAGATTATACTAAGTTGACAAGATGAGTTGGGTATATTTCCTTTTATTTTAAAATTCTTTGGAAGTCTTTGGGTAGGATTGATGTATTTCTTCCCTTAGTATTTAGCAGAATTCACTAGTGGAGCTATCTGGGACTGGGGTTTTTTTAGGGAAAAGTTTTTTAAAGTTGTATCTTATAACATATTATAATATATATGTAATTGTATATTATTCCATTTTCCCCTTTATTACCATATTAGTTAAAAGAGCTCTGGTGGTATAGTGCCTAAGACATTTGACTGCCAACCAGAAGGCTGGTGGTTCAACCCCACCAGCCACTCCTCAGAAGGAAGATTGGGCAATCTACTTCCATAGAGATACCACCTCAGAAACCCAAGGAGGGGTTGCTATGAGTTGAATCAACACAACAGCAGTGAGTTTATCCCAGGAATTATAAAAGGCGCTCTTAACTTCTCAAAATCTAATATTACTCTCTTCTTGGACAATGCCATGGCCCAGTAATGCTTTAATCTCACTTAAACTACCCTGATTTGTATATCATTTTTGTCATTACTATTTTAATTTCATATGTATTTTAAGCATACAAAACATAATTATTATTGTTTTATAAATCAAAATACATTTAGACTTACCCACATCCTTATAATTTCCTTTATTCTTATATTCAATGCCCACATAGCATTATTATAAAGACTGTAATAACATGGATAATTATTCAAAAATTACCTCTTCCCAAACAGTAACCACAGGAAGAATGTGGGAAGAGAGCTGTTACATTACGGGGATTGCAATCAATGTCATGAAATAAAATGTGTATGAACTGTTGAATGGAAAATGAATTTACTCAGTAAACTTACAGCCAAATCACAATTTAAAATAAATAAAGCTACTGTTACCATTTGCCACACACACAAAAAAAAAATTACCTCTTCCTTTGTTCTTATTTATAATGGCTATACAATATTATTATAAAGACTATAATGACTTGGAAAATTATCTCATAAATATTTATTGATTGAACTCTCCTAGTTCTTATCAGGGGTACAAACTACTACCTTGCACAACTGCATGGGACACCATTTAAAAAAGAATTTGTGAAAATTATGCCTCTGGAGTTACTTGTAAAGGATACTCCCTGGAATTGTACAGACTAGTGTCCTAACTAAAAACACCAAGTTACAAAAAGTATCTGATACTCATGATGAGATCTAAGAGAATTCTTGAGCAGATAGTAAATACTTATTAAAAAGTATATTAAATGATTATAGTTGTGCTGGGAAAAAAAAAAATCCCTATACTTGGATTAAAAAAAAAAAAAACCACCTGAAGAAGAACATAACAACATGCTAATCATGTTGTGTTGAAGTGATGGACTATGGGTGATTTCCTTTGTATTTTTTTCCTCCTCTCTAAATCTTTTTAATTAATGTTGGAAGTACAAGTTCCTTTTCTCCCCTCTCTTGCATTTAAAACAAAAACACTGCCACTGAGTCAATTACAACTCATAGCAACCCCCATTGGGTTTCCAAGGCTATAAATCCTTATGGAAGCAGATTGCCTCATCTTTCTTCCATGGAGTAGCTGATAGATTCAAACCACCAACCTTTTGGTTAGCAACCAGTGCCTTTACCACTACACCACAAGAGCTCCTTATTTAAGTACTCCCAGAGCTCTGGTGGCATAGTCCCTAAGGCATTTGACTGCTAACTAGAAGGTTGATGGTTCAAACCCACCAGCTGCTCTGTGGAAGGAAGACTGGGCTATCTGCTTAGGTAAAGATTTACCACCTTGGAAATCCAAAGGGGATCACTATGAGTCTGAATCTACTTGTTGGCAGTGAGTTTGGTTTTTGGTTTAGAAGGAAGACAAGCAGGAGTTCCATGTTTTGATAAAGGTATCTTAATAAACTGTTTTCGTATTTTCCTCATCTATTTCATTGTGGCCAGAAATTCTTCCTTAAATTAAGATTTTCTCCAAAATAAAGTATCTAAGAATTGTTCAGGGTCTTGAACCACCAACTCTTGCTTGAATTATTTTCTATAATATTATTTCCAAAGTATTGATTAGGTTCTCTTTCACTAAAACTGAGGAAAAGCAATATAAGCTCACTCAGGACCTTATTAGAAATACTTTCTCTCAGACCTCATCCCAGATCTGACACAGACCCTACCTTTAACAAGGTCCCCGAGGAATTCAAACACACATTCAAGTGTGATAAGCCCATACCTAATCACTTGCTGCTTCCAAGAAAATTTAACCCACATTTGAGGATCTTCCACTATTGAAAAGATCTTCATTATATTGAACTAAAATATTTCCCTAAAATTCCAATCTTGGTTTAAACTTGAAGGACTCCCAGAACAAATCTAATTCCTCTTTTACATGACAATCATCAAATAGGTGAAGAGAAAGATCATATCCTACCTTGATTCTTGTTTCCTCCAGTAAATTTTTTCAGTTCCTTTAATAAGATTTTAAGTTCTATCTTCTATTAAAAGATATATGCTGTATTTTCAGGCCTTGCTCTATATCCAGAGAAAGTGGAGTGCCCTGTATCAGTGTCTCCAAAGAGTGCTGAAATGATAACTCTCTGGCATAATATATGTCATCTCCATCTTACAGGGGTGTGGTCTCAATTTATCCCTACACTGACTTTATCTTGGTATTACGGATTTGAATTCATTCAAAATCGCAACAACAAATAGCAACTAAAGTTTTTATGTGTCCAGCACTTTATTATGGAGACTGCAAAGAAATATAGACTACTTCTCAAGGAATTACAGAACTATAGTCTGTTTGGAGAAACAGCATGTAAATGTATTAGAGAATTTTAAATACAATGTGTAATTAAATGCCCTAATGTGTGAATTAGACTTTAAATACATGAGGATTGATCATTATAAGTTGGAGTAACCAAAGAAGAATAGCATGGTGAAACCAGTAGACAGCTGCTATCAAATCAATTCCAACTCATGACAACCCCATATGTTTCAGAGTAGACTGGCACTCCATAGGGTTTTCACAGCTGTGGTCTTTCTTCCAAGGCACCTCTGAGTGGATTAAACTGCCAACTTTTCTTTTAGTAGTCAAGGACTTAATCATTTGTGCCACCCACGGACTCCTTGTATGATGGAACAAAGCATACAGTTTAAGTTAGAAGACTTTAGTGGGACTCCTGGCTTTGGTACTTCTTACATGTACATATTAAAATGATTCTTAACTTTTTTGAATTTTAGCTTCTTCATCTGTAAAATGTAACAATAGCATTTAACACCTAGGGTGGTTGTGAGGTAAATACAAAATCATGTGTGAAGAATTTTGTAAATATCAACACACATATGTGTGTTATTATTAAGTTCAATATTTGGGCAGGAGGGAGAAGTAACAAGAGACAATGTTAGAGTAAGGACTAGCAGGAATAGCAGTGCATGATTGGAAGGAACTCTGCATGTAGCTGGTGACAGGCCTGTGACAGACTAAATATTATTAAGATCCCATCCTTTTGGAAGCATCACACCAATTCCCATTCACTAAGAGGAATCCAACCTTTAAAACAGCTGGAAAGCACTAACAGAGTGAGGCTGCCTCCAAGAAGTTGTGAGCTCACAAATGTTACTGGGGGAATACAAGCAAAGCATGGGAAATTGTATTACAAGGATGTGGGAGGAGAATTTCCATCTGGGAAGGAAGCTGGCCCAAATGACTTGAAGGTCCTAACTCGAAGCTTCTTAAATCTGTACTCTCCTGGGGAGGATTGCTCAGCTGATTTTCTGCTCTCTTTGCTCCCTGTGTAGACTGTTCAGAAGAAGCCTGACTCCTTGCCAGCTCAGGACCCCTGCACCACCATTTACGTTGCAGCCACAGAGCCCATCTCAGAGCCTGTCCAAGTAAGGAATCTCTCAGCATCTCCTCTGTAGAGAAGAAATGGGCAGAAAAGGGGAAAGAGAAGCATTTTTGTAGAGCTGAAATGCAACAAATTGAAAAGTCCCAGTATGGGGAGAGATAGACCACAGCAAAAAAGGCAGCAAGGGACATATGTGGCCTTGGTTGTAGTACTTCCCCTCTCAGACCTGCTCAAGGTTATGGCTCACTCCATATTCACTAATGTTTCTGAGTTGTCCAAGGACCACATCAGAATCACTTGGCATATTTTGTTTCAAATAAAGATTCCTAGAACCTTCCACCCAGGATTCTGTTAAATCAGAATGTCTGGGCATAGTCCCTGGGTGGTACAAACAGTTAAGTGCTCCACTACTCAGTGAAAGGTTGGTGGTTCAAACCCACCCAGAGACACCTCAGGAAGAAAAGGTCTGGTGATCTACTTCAGAAAGGTCACATCCTTGAAAATCTTATGGAGCAGTTCTACTCTGCACACATGGGATCACTAGGAGTCAGAATCGACTTGACAGCAGCTGGTTTGTTTTTTTTTGGTTTAGAGAAAATAGTCAGGAGCCAACACATTTTAAAAATTTTTTAAAAAAGGTAATACTAAAGCACAACATAAGTCTGGCAGTTCTCAGCTCCAGCTGCATAACAGAATTACTAGAGGAGCTATGTGAAGATACTCATGCCAAAGCCCCATCCTCCCTCGTTTAATTAGAATACTTTGTGGTGGAGTTCTGCATGGGCATTAAGCCTAGAAAAGAATATGACATGCAACCCAGAACAAGACTCACCCATTGTAGGTCATAGCAAGATCAACATGTACTAAATTTACTTCTTACAGGAAGCTTTCTTTTTTTTCCTAAATGGCCAGAAATAAATTCTGGGCTAAAATTCTGGCTCCTGGCTTTGATACTTCTTGCATGTGCACATTAAGATGGTTCTTTTTTCAATACAGTTGGGCTGTGTTAAATAAGGTGTTTTAGGAAAAAGTCCAGGATTAAAGACCACAGAAATGCCTACCACCTACCTCTCTTCTTCGAAGTTCCTACTGTACAAGGTTCCAGCTTGCCAGTATGCCTGACATACCCTGTCATCACCTTGAGGTTGATTCTCAGTACATTCTCATTTTCAAGGGAGGAGTGAAAACATAAATCTGACTTCAAAAACTTTATTAAAAAAATACTGTAGATTTTCACTGAAGTTTGTTTGTGGAAAGAGAACTGTATGTTATATTTCACATTTTATAGCAAAACTTCCTAAATTCCCCCATCCTCATCTCTTTCTTTATCTAATCTCCTCTCCCTCTGACAGGTCTTTTCCTACTTCTTCTCCCACTCACTCTCCTGCCTGCACCATTTCTCCCTTCTCCCTTTCAGGCCTCACTACTCAACCCAGTTACTGTCAAGTTGACTCCAACTCATGGAGACCCCATGTGTGTCAGAGTAAAATCATGTGCCATAGGGTTTCAATGGCTAATTTTTTTAGAAGTAGATCTCCAGGCCTTTCTTCCAAGGTGCTCCTGGGGGGACTCAAACTGCTGACCTTTTGGTTAGCAGCTGAACATGTTAGCCTTTTGAGCCACATAGAGACTTCACCAGCCCTAGCTAGCTCCACTCGGTTTCACTAGCCCTTCCTAAAGTTCAGCAACTTGAAACTCTCTTGGCTTCTCTAAATTGTACCCTGTGCCTATCAGTAAACAAATTCTTTTCCTCACAAGGGAAGAGAAGAGGGCAGTGGGAGGTGGCATTGAGTGCCAGTTCTCAGATCACTCTGAAAAGGCCTCCACATCTGCCAGGTAGCATGGGAATGCTTAGAAGGCAGCTGTAACTCTTCTTGTGAGTGGGACAGGCAGTCTGGGGACCTGGGTTCTGACTCTAGCAATGTCCCAACTGTGACAGTCCCTGAGCAAGTCCCAATACTACAGGATCTCTGAGACCTTTGCCTTTTCCTAAGGATCACTCTTTCCATTTGTAGCCTGTGAACCCAGTGTCCAGTCCCTCCATTCACAGACTTCTTTTGCTTTGCCACCAGGAACCAGACTCTATCACAGTCTATGCCAGTGTGACCCTTCCAGAGAGCTGACACAACAGACCCAGGGAAGGGACTTCCTGAAGGACTATGGAAGAACCAAAATAAACACAGAGCTGGGCCACAGGCCCCAAATGTCCAGTGGCATTCTGCACAAGGCATTCTGTTCCCTTCTTGGATCAACTCTCTGGCAATGCTTCTACCACATCCACCTGTGAAATGGATATGAAACTGAGACTTCCCAAATACGTAGCCTGCTCTGCGTGGGCACAGGCATGGAATAGAGAGAGACTTTCCATAGTTTTCCATCTCTGTGGCATAGCAGATGAAATGGCTAACGTGAGTCCAGTGAGTTCAGACTTCTGGGCATCTTGCTGTTTGCTGGGATTGGAGAATAAAGGACAAAAGCAGAAAACCAGGTCATAGATGACCCATCAGACAGCTGATCCACCAGCCACTGAGTCTGAGAAAGTTTACATTCAGCTGTCTGCAGTTTGTTCTGGAAGCTGATCCTAATGCAGAGCCAATCCAGGATCTGGGACCGTTTCTTTCTCTGGATGGGCAGCAAAGGGTGAATTCCTCATTATCTGTAAAACACTCTGAGATTATTGTATAAAAGAAGCAAAACATGTCAATATTTTATTTACAAAACTCAAAAGCTAAAGAGTCAATAAACAGACAGCATGACTTTGAGGTCTCTGAGCTTTGAATAGTGGAAAGATAGACATCTGAGATTCTTAAAAGTATGACTGTGCAAACGACCTTCAGTTGTAAAGATAAGTGGCAAGGGATGCCTGTTACAAAGGAATTTGGGATTCTCAGAACTTATCTCAAGAGGGGTTTTCATTTCTAGAAAATGATTTTAAATCCTAGTTCTCTGTCTATTCCCTGAACAGCAAACCTGGATCCTCAGCTAAAATTCTCTCCCATTTGATTCTGAACCCATTTTCAGATCCAAGATCTCAGTGATACTGAAGGTCAAGATCTATACCGGGTACTTTCTATTCCCTGCATAACTCTCCTCACAATAAATTTATCTTGAGTAGAAAATGAAGGTATTTTAGTTCCAAATGATTGAACTCTCAATAACTTAGATTGCAGATTGGAGGCAGAAAGAGCCTCTTTTGGCATAGTCCTATTTTCTTCCTAGTTTCTGCTCAGACCCAACCTAAACCAATCATATTGCTCGAGTCATTTCTGCCTCTCCTTAATATAAGCTTCTCCTTTCCTTGTAGGGTCTTGGATAAACTTATGAAGTGCTTTAAGAAATAACCGACTGTTTTACAATTGCACAACAAGGGCCAGTTTTCCAGCCTGAAACTCTGTGGTCCTGACTGCCTTTTGCCCTACTTCCCCTATTCAGTCTATTCCCATTTAGGTTCTATTGCTTGATGCAATATCCATTTCCTTATAACAACTTCTGTAATAGGGTTCTTAGCTACAAGCAACAGAAATTAACTTGATTTATTTGCAGGAATCCACTGAAAAGATATTGGTTGGCTCAAATAATTGCTAGGGGATTCTGCAAAACTATGCTTTGAAAATGGACAGGAGAGGGTAGCACTAGGATGTGGCCAGGAACACAGCCAAAAATCACAACCCAATGCAGGGATGATGATGCTGGGCACCATGGTTTCCCTGTCATTGCCCCCACCCCAGCACTGGACACTGGACACCCCTGCCTCACAGCCTTTGCTGGACTTGAAAACTTGATATTTCAGTTGCTGTTGCAGTGTTGGCCACAAAAAATGAGTTCTACAGAGTCCCTCCTTCATCTTGTCATCTCTAGCTTTTAATTAAAAGTCTAGGACCAGCTACCCAATCCTAAGCACATGTTCATGCCTACCTCCAAGGGAGGCTGAAAATTGAAAATGTAGCATTCTAGTTTTCCTGTGCTTCTTTTCTGATGTTGTTTTCTTTTGACCAAGCATATCGGAATTCCAGAGAACTGAGGAGGAACTGAGACCCATTCTTGGTTTTAAGGGACTAATGTTCTAAAATATAGCTGAATAGTCCAAGGCCTCTTTAGGACACTTACCCCAGTCACACATTGGAGTGTGATTGTTAAAGGGTGCATTCACTGTCAGAGAGCTCACTGAGTATAATAAGTTAATTATGCTAATGAAATTTCTACGTCTACCTCCTGGAAACGAATAAAATATGGCCAATTCATCAACTGAATTGCATTTCTTCTGTTTTGTGTTTCCTAGAAGATTCACAACATGGAAATATCAGAAAAAAATGTTGACTATTTTCATTGCCTTGTGTCTGTCTGTGCAGTTATAATTATGTAACACTGAAGGTGAACTGATTTGATTTGACGAGTAAACTGTGAGATTTTCCTTTTCTGAGGGAATGGGCAAAGGTTAGCTTTGTATCCCCTTCACCGAAGGCAGCCCCCACAAGAAAAAGAGAATTGTTTTTAAAATATACTTTAATTTCTGTCACCTACAGAACAATCTGCTTCCCTTCATCTCCCCTTGTAAAGAATAGCTAGAGCAAGGTTTCTCAGGAGAGCTCTGCAGCACTATTGACATTTTGGACTGGATAGTTTTCTGTTGTGGAGGCCTGTTCTGTGCAATGCAGAGTATTTGGCAGCATCCTTGGGCACTACCAACTAAACGCAAGTAGCACATTTCTTGCCCCCAGTCCTGATGGTCAAAAATGTCTCTAAAAAACAAACAAACAAAAAAAAAAAACTTACTGCCATCGAGTCAGTCCTGATTCAGCGACCCCTTCTTGAGTTTCCAAGGCGGTATCACTACAGAAGTAGATTGCACAACCGTCCTCCTAAGGAGTGACTGGTGGGTTTGAACTGCCAGCCTTCTGGTTAGCAGTCAAATGCCTTAAGCACTAGACCACCAGAGACATTGTCAAATGTCCCCTGAGGCACATTTTCATCACTGATTGAGAACCACTGATTCAGACAAAAGCTGGCCTCTTGGTCAGCTTTTAGTAGACTAATCATACTTCTAACTCTATGGAACAATTCTATTCTGTAGCACATGGGATTCCCATGAATCAGAGTTGACTCAATGGCAGTGATTTGGCTTTGGTATATGCCAAATAAATCTATTAAAAATAATGTTTTGAAAGTGGCTAAAGTATGGTCAAACTCCTGTCAGAATGCTCAAGTTTACTTCCACATGAGAACACTTGAGTAGCTTTTTAAAAATACTAATGTCCAATCCCTACCTAAAACCTAAATGAAATCTGAGTTGAGATTCATAGAACCAACAACCTAGAGGCTATAATCATACCAGAAAGAATTTGTGAAGAATTCCACTCAACAGCCACAAGAGGGTGATGGAACAATACAGTCCACCCCCACTCCTGCATCCCCACCAACTATTTTGCAGCTAAAATGTATGAACTTAGTCATAGACTCACTGAAACTTAACAAGTTTTTAATCAACTCACAATTCTTACAGGCTGGAGGGAGAATTTCCCTCCCCCCTTAGAAACAAAGAGGTCCAATGTGGATTAATGGCAGACTCTAATCAAAGTTACTGCATTAAGCTTATTTCACAGAAGACACCTAGTTCTATTCAAAGATTCACATATTCAACAAATAGTTATTATGGTCCTACTGTGTATTAGAGCTTGTAATTCAGTGGGAGATATAATGAACATAGTAAAAATATTGTGATAAAAAGATGACTACATGATTGACTGTCTAATCTAGGGCTAATTTGAAAATACAAGGAGATGCAATTAATAATTATTAATTATTAATTAATCATTAATTAATCATTGGGCAAACCTGAATTTGCAGTCAGCCAAATGACAGGGGAAGTAAGGGGTCTTCAGCAAACCTAGGAGAAGGTACACCCGACTCAGACTTTAGGAGTGAAGAGGGGAAGTTTATTTTAGATAAAAATTTGTAATAACAGTGGAAATGAAGTAGAAAATTTCCAGAAAGTAGCCAAAGATGGACGCTGTAACTCAGAATCAAAAATAGAACTAAGATATGACAGCTGTCTTCATTGAACTCACCCTTTGACACTGAGATTTTGTAGGGGGAAAAAAATGTAGACAGAGGATAATGGTATGTTCACATTTGAAAGGCAGAAGAGTTTAAAACAAAGCCAAGGAAGCAAATATGATCACTTGGAAGTCAAGAAAAAATAATCCAAGGAGGACAAAACAGTCATCTACATCTACAGCTATTAAAAGAAAAAGTTCAGAAAGGACTCCTGGATTTGGTAACAGATCATAAAAAAGTAGGGATTGTGTGAGATGCTTTGGAAAATGAAGGAGTGAAATGAGAGAACTGAAATTAAATAAAGATTGTTAAGTCAAATAAAGGGTGGTGCTTTTCAAATTTCTTGTCGTTGTACTCAAAAGATCCTTTGGTGCCATAAAGCAACCATTTCTAATCATAAACTAGTTGCCATCATTTCAGCTCTAACTCATGGTGAACTGACATGGGTCAGAGTAGAGCTGTGCTCCCTGGAGTTTTTAACAGGCGATTTTTTTTTTTTTTTTTTAAGTAGTCTTCTAAGGGTCCCCTGAGAGGACTCCAACCTACAACCTTCTGGTTAGCACCTGAGTACATAACTTTTTGTGCCACCCAGGGACTCTATTTCTATTCGAAGGGTTGTGGATAGTCAAGACAAACTAAACAATCCAGTCCATTCTGTGGCCAAATCTCTCCGTCTTCTCTACTACACCCCTGACGCTGCACTTATTATACTTTGCCACCCCTAGTAGTAGATCGACTCGGTGGCAGTGAGTCTGGGTTTTTTTTTAGTAGTGATGGGACGCTCACTCTCTCAACAGGGTAGAGTACACTCCCACAGTCCCGGTAGTTAGAAAGTTCTTTAAATAGAACAAATATCCATTTTCTTATCGCACCCCCCCACCACCACCCACTCTTTACCTGCACTGATCTCACTCTTCTTGGAGATGAGTGAAATAAAATCTGATCCTCTTTTAAAATCTCTCAAATATTTAGACATTTCCCCCCCCCCAACTCCTACTCCCAATCTTTCTCTAATTATCTATTTTCTTTACATAAACAAATTGCTCCTTCTTTCCTTTACCATTTCCTA